AGGAGATGAGAAGTGATTTCAGATTGTGAGTACCTGGAATGTGACAGTGTCGCTGAAAGCACAGCCTCTAGTGATTAGAAAAGAGGTTTTCCAGCAGGGCTGTTAGAAATGTGGAACAAGTTCAGAATTACAGCCCCAAATGGAATGTTCCTGGTAAAATGTATTCTATAGAAATAAGACATCCAGGGTAATTTCAGGCTATATTTTTAGGACTTTTAGACTGATTGCCTGGAGGGCTCAGCTGGGATTTCTTTCTTCTGAAGAACGCATTGTACAATTAGGTAAGGTATTACAGGTCATGGTCCACCTGCATCCAAAGCCTCAGGAATGGGCTCCCAAGAGGCAAGATGAGAGCTAAGCTGGGCCTGTGACAAATCCTTGGGCCTCTGGGGAAAGAACAGTGTTACATGGAGAGAGGCCCTGACTTCTTTATGGCTTCATGTGACAATTTTCTACTGGATCTGAGCAGGCAGCTGCCCCGGGAGATTCTTGACACTGTTTTCCACTTTCCCTGCACTGTCTGTGACTGGAAATGTAGTGCCGGATTGGAGTGGGGTTTGAATGCCTCATACCCAGCCGACTGGACCAGGGGCCTCCCTGTTCTTTCCCATTGACCCTTCTCGGAGAATCTAATTGATTCCCAGCTCCAGTTTTGAGTCAGTAATTCTGCACATGTGTGTGTGTGTGTATTTGGAGGAGGGGTGGTAATGGGGATACTACCTGGAAACTTACCTACTGCTTTTTTATTTAGAAGAGTTCTGATCTTTCTTTCCAATATAACTCTCAACCTGACAGTCACAGAGATAAAAAATACAATAAAGATGGAATCTAAAGGTTATTGATACAGAAGTTGGGGAGAAAGAAGTAGAATTTGAATCTGATTGTAATAATTTTTAAATTTGGTTTATTTGTTGGTAGGAGAATGTCTTCTATCATTTGGTTAGTTGCCAGTGGTCATCCACAGTGCTAGAAATGCAGCAGATAATTTATGAATCACCTGGAAAGCATTATGCTAAGTGAAATCATCCAGGCACAGAAAGAAAAGTACCATGTTCGATGTCTGTGTGAAACCTAGAATAATCAGATTCACAGCAGCTGAGAACAGTGGCAGAGTACTGGGGAGGATAGGTGTTGGTCCAAGGGCACAATGTTTCAGTTACACAAGAGGAATAAATGGTAAACATTTGAGATGAAAAAGTTAATGGATCAGGCCGGCGCCGCAGCTCAATAGGCTAATCCTCTGCCTTGCGGCGCCGGCACACCGGGTTCTAGTCCCGGTCGGGGCGCCGGATTCTGTCCCGGTTGCCCCTCTTCCAGGCCAGCTCTCTGCTGTGGCCAGGGAGTGCAGTGGAGGATGGCCCAAGTGCTTGGGCCCTGCACCCCATGGGAGACCAGGAGAAGCACCTGGCTCCTGCCTTTGGATCAGCGCGGTGCGCCGGCCGCAGCACGCTGGCCGCGGCGGCCATTGGAGGGTGAACCAACGGCAAAGGAAGACCTTTCTCTCTGTCTCTCTCTCTCTCACTGTCCATTCTGCCTGTCAAAAAAAAAAAAAAAAGTTAATGGATCAATTAAATCAAGCAAACATTTAATAAATACTTGGAATGGCCAAAGGATTTTGTTGGTTAAAATAAAATATAAAATAATTAGGAAGGGGTTGGTGTTGTGGCGTAGCAGGTAAAGCCACCACCAACAACCTCGGTATCCCTTATGGGTGCCAGTTCATGTCTTGTCTGCTCCACTTCCAATGCAGCTCTATGCTGCTAATGGCCTGGGAAAAGCAGCGGAAGATGGCCCAAATGTTTGGGCCTGTGCCACCCAGATACAAGGCCCAGATGAAGCCTTTGGCTTCTACCTGGCCTAGCTCTACTGTTGTGGCCATCTGGGAAGTAAACCAGCTGTGAAACTCTGACTTTCAAATAAACAAATAAATCTTTAAAATAAACAAATAAATTTTCAAAAAGAATTAGGGAAATGAAAGTAGTTATGATCTCCAGGTCCACTGGTGGACTTCAGAGATCTGTAAATTTTGGAAATTAAATGGAAAACACTGTTCAGTGGTTTTTGTCCTTAATTTGTATCAGATCCTCAAACTTTGTGTCTGACCTTGAACTACTGAAGACTAGGAATTTTATTGCTCCTCAAATTGTGGGTTGAGGACATGCCATGGTCTATAACAGTGTGTGAAAAATGACACAAAGTGCAGCTTCCAAATGTATGGGCTGGTCCCTCCATCCTCTGTGCATCAGCTGCTAGTCCATTAGTGGTTGCAGTATACATCCCTGTATTTTCTTAATGTGAACAGAACTGAAAAACAGAGAGCCTTACTTGGAACAGGCTGTGCTTTGACTCTGAGTTGGAGACAACTGTGAGAGGATAAAAGTGACAGCTGTGACTATCAGTATGCAGTAGGTATTCAGTGCTTGTTTGCCAGTGAAAGAAAAGGGGGAAGGTAGGCAAAGTGAAAGGAAAAAAGAGGCCTACAACGTGCCCCTTGCCATGTGTACACAAGAATTGCAGAACCCTATCTTCCGTCCTGCAGACATTTGGGATTGCCGGATATCCACCATAATAAACCTGTCTGTTAACGTCTGGTCATTTCACTTTGACAAACATCCAAAAACTGTCAGGTGTGAAAGTTTAAGTGAAAATAGTGAAGATGAGTCACTTTACAGACGTGTGTGAATTCCTTCAAAAAGTCGATAGAAATAAAAAGCCGCAGAATATTCTTCTTGTACCAGCTGGGGGCATTCCAGTACTACAAATGCGAGAGTGGAGAAAAAGTGTGCCGAAAAGACCATTTCTAATGTCGCTGTTACTGCAAGAATTGGTGCTGTTTCTCTGCAGATTAGTACGTCTCCGCTCTCTGAAAACCTTAGCAACAGTGCAGTGCCGAGATGGCCTGTTGAAAATGCCCTCTTCCCTTTTTCATGACAAACACCCATACTAAGTAGTTCTTGGCTCTGGTGGCCACTGAGCTTCACAGTGTTCATCTGTGGCTAGCAACTGACTTAAGATTGCAAGCTGGGTGCTCCCTTGGCAGGAATGCCCTTCTCTACCAGGTGATGCCCTCCATTCAGCCTGTGTGCTTAGGGATCATCCCCAAACAGTAGTGCACTTCTTGGATTGCCGTGGAGTTACTCATTGCTGACATTGTATAGTTCCTAATCAATCCCATGTGCTCCTGGCATTGCTCTGTGTCAAATTGCAATGTCTTTCATGACCTAATAAAAAAATCATTGGTTGATATTGCAGTCTTTTATTGGCATTTCAGTACTGATGTGTTATTTTTATTTGTGGAGTGTATCTCAGGTTGATAAAACTGTACATACCTCAAATAGGTAATACAGAATTGTGCATAGAAAAAATATATTGTAGTAAGTCAGAGAAAAGGAGATCCTATTGTCATCTGGAAAACTTTATCAATAAAAGGCTTGACACCCCTGCTTTATCTTGATTGGCATCAGCTGAGTGTTGCATGATGCTGTGCTGGGATCTGAAGCCCTGTTCTCGTCTTCCTCTTGGACAAAGGGAAGCCACGTGTTTCAGTATGATGTTTCTTCTTATTTAGGCTGTCTTCCTTACTCACACAGAACATTATAAAGTGCAAACCATTTTTGAAAGTTTTACATGAGGTTTCCAGGCAAAGCCAATAATTTATTTCTGTTATTACTCCTTGAAAGTTTTTTCTTTCTCTGTTGACAGTGAGAAGACCTTATTGTGATCTGCTATTTTATTTTGCTAGCATTTTGGCTGATTCTGTCCCTGAGTTTCATTTTTGGCTTGTCATTTACTCCATCCTATATAAATTTAATCATTGTATCTCTGTAGCTCTCTGAATATCTGCTGGCTGAAACTTACGGAGCAGAATAAAAGTAATAACAGAGATACATTGGTGATTCCAAAAACTCAAGTTGATAAGATTAGAAAGTAATCTTCCTGAGAGATGAAAAGAAATGTAGGTTCAAATACAAATTCTGTGTTTTGACAACTCAGTACAAGAACTATTTTAAACAAAATTCATGTAAGATTGATTATACTTCTTTTTGGTCAAGTGCTGGTATCTTAGAGAATTGATTGAGGCTTTTACATACAGATAAACAAGTCCCTTAATTTTTCATTAAAATTGTTATTATCAGTGCATTTTGTCTATAAATATGTTTTTGATATTAAATAATACTATTTCTGATGATACGCTGGTAAATACTATGCCTTTTGTTGGGGGTGTTAGGACAATTTTACAAGTTATACTTTTTTTTTCTATACAGCAAAGACTAAGGTCTCAAATAGATACTAAGAAATGTGAACTGACTCCTTCAAAGTCTTCCCAGCCTGACTGAACCTTCATTCTGAGCTCATATTATTTTTCCTCTTCAGTCCTACCTGACTACATCCGTACTGCTTAATTCCTTGCCTTCTTTTTCTTTGTAACTGACATGTTTCAGGCCTAAAATGCCCTTAAACCTCTTGAACATCCCACCTGCATTCAAAGTCTACCCAGCTCTGCTTGGGCACCTTGCAGACATCCTTGATCCAAGTTGGACCTAGTCTGTTCACCTTCTAGAATCTACATTTTACCTCTCCGTATCATACAGCTGTCGATATAGTCTCTTTTGTGGTAATCCACAGAAAGATCTCATGTCATCCACTTAGATTGTGAACTTTGTAATGATAGAGACTAAACTTTAGTCATTGTGACTCTTTCATAAGCATCACTTATTGCGCAAATTGTTTGTTAAGTAACCAAATGGCAATTAAGTTAGTAGGTTGGAACTAAAATGAATGGGGCTTTCCCTTTTTTACTGACTTCCCAGCTATCTTACATTTAGTTGGCTGTAAATATTTGTGGAATGAAATGCAGTGGATGGGTGAAAGGATGGAGAAGTACATGAATTGGTGGATAGTTGGGATGGTTGCTTGGATGCATGAATGGGTGGGTGCTCTGAATGTAAATGACCATCTAGATTTTATACTTTTCTAATGCTTGTTTCTACTCTTTTCAGCCATATTGCTCACTACACCTTCACCTGAAGGTCTCTGAAAATCCCTACACCTCAGGGATTATTGCCAGCAGAGACACAGCTCCAAGCATCATAGTGGCTTCAGGTAAGAAGCTTCCTTGCTTCGCTTGCTGTTGTAAATTGCGTTTCTTTTAAGAAGCTAAATGTTTGTGCTTGGAACTTAATGACCAGTATAAAAATATTATTGTAAAGCTCCTAAACCATTGACCCTGAAGTAAGTATGCTGAAAAGCCCTGTCAGACAGAATGTTGGCCGTGAAAGCCATTCTCCAGCAATGCAGACCCTGATGGAACCCATGATTGGCTTTTGCAAGAAGTTCCTTTCACTAATGGCAATGTGTTGTTTCTAGGTAATATAGGATCTGAGTTGTCAGACAGTGATATCAGCATGTTTGTCTCTTCCGATGCGGGGAACACTTGGAGGCAGGTAAGAAAATATGTAGGGTCAAGTTGCTGAAGTATAAATAGAAAAAAAAAAATCAAACTTGCCTCAATTCTGGGAACTTATTTGCAGTGCTTTATGTAAATCCTAAAACTAACTAATGTGTTTATTTTCTTGTTTTACTGGGGGTCTTAGGCCAACCTTTGAAATTGGCTAATACTTATGCAATTTGATTGTTTTGGTCATTTAATAAAGAAATCCTGTATTCAGAAACTGAATGTAAGAACATTTATAAGTGACAATGAAATCTAAGTTGGATTAAGTTTTCCTGTAACAAAGAACCAGAACCTTAGGGCTTTCTCTTGTAGGGAACTTAGAGCCTGAAGGGTAATTGCATATCTAACTCTGAGCTACCTCCATAGATTTCCATTGTCTGGGATTCCAAATAGAGAGAATCCAGTAATAAAGAAATAGCTGTTACCCAGGTGCTATTTTGAGACATTTAAATCTCATGTGCAAAGGCCAGAGTAATAATCTGGGATGCATGTGTTAAACAGAAAAGAAATGGAATCACTTTCAACCAATGTGTTTAGCTTAAATGCTGTCTTTCTTCTGAATGAAAGGTAGATACCCATAGCTTATAACATAGACATTTTTAATGAGTTTTAGCAACTGTAACAAGATATGTGTCTAATGCATGGTTGTAACATTTCAATAAATATGTTTTAATTACCCACTGACGTTTAATTATCATATACTACCTAGCTCTGTAAATTGAAATCTAAAGAACAGGTAATCACACTTGACAGTGAGGGCACACTGTTTTACATTCTGAACAGAGATTCAAGTATTATAGTTCAGTTGCCATTGCTTGGATTTAGATACTTTGTAGGTCCTCAGTGAGATTCTCACATTTTGAGAGAAGGATGGAGAGGAAATTTTCTTAAGAATTCCCAGGGAGATTGAACTTGGCAATTGAAGGAGAATGGATTGTTCTAAATAAGCTACCTCTGGAGAAGAGTTAGACAACCAGGAACCCATCTTCTGCCTTCCAGTACCCCAAATGAAGAAAGGAAGTCTCTACTGCTATATTCCTGGGATACATTTGGGGTATGAGATGTAAACAAAGTACATTTCAGGGGGGAATATGTCAGTAATGTAACTCCAGATGAGGCTATGCCAATTTGAGAAAACAGCATGCATCTTTTATAAAGAGGATTTAAATATTGTTTCCTGCTTGTCTCCTTTTGACCTCAAATTTGTTCTTCTGTACATGGAAAAGCATTCAATGACACTTGTGCCTAAAGATGACAATTCCATTTTTATTAGAACTATGAAAGACTTGGTAGAACATCCATGAATTAAACAAGAATATTCTTCTTTGATAATACTTGGACTCTTCAAATCAAGTCTTGATATGGTACCCTTATTCACTAAACCCCAGCTCTATCAATTATTATGTGTGTGATTTTAGTTAAGTCAACACATCTCTGTAAATCTTAGTTTTCTCATCTGCAAAAATGAGAATTTTGGTAGTAAACTTTATCATTAAGGTTCCTTTAATCTAGAGATGTAATCATTCATGACATATTCAATAGAATATATAGGAAAATATAGTAGAATATAGGAGAATATAAGCATGGATACATACTATTCTTTCTAAAGTTTCTTTTGCATACAACTAAAATCATTTTATTTAACACTATGGGTAAGTAGTCCACATTTGGGAGCATTGTTCTCTATTTCCCAAAGATTTAGAAAAATATACATGGGCAGGATTTTAGTCTACATATGAAGACTGCTTCTCTGAAACCTGAGTTTGTGTGGATGTGGACGTGTGTCCACACATATGTGTTTTCCTCATCTAGATCTTTGAAGAAGAGCACAGTGTTTTGTACCTGGATCAAGGTGGTGTCCTGGTTGCTATGAAGCACACGTCTCTCCCAATTCGACATCTTTGGTAAGGCACCTGGTAGCTATGATATGTGCACCTGTTGGTTCTGCACTGCTCCTGCTAGTCTAGGAGTCAGGCTATCAGACCGGCACTGTGTATATAGGAAAATGTCAAAGTCTATTAGGACATCACTTATATCTTTGTTCCATTAAAATAAGATTACCAATAGCAATTTGGAAAAAGAAGAGATCGAGTTAGGAAGGGGAGATGAAAGAGAGGGAGAAGGAGAAAGAGAGGTCTCTCCCCTGAGAGAGGAATTGTATTATGGTTTTCAAATGTGACAGTGCCTTCATCAGTTCTTTTTTCTCTTAGCACAATGGCAGTAGAACACAGTTCACTATTAGGTAGTCTCTGAGTATCTGAAATTTTGTTGTCACCTCTCCCAGTCAGTATCTCCTGGAGTTTGGTATCTGTGTTCATCATGCACATTCCAAACAGAGATGAGCCATTCATGACCATTCTCCCATATCATTGTTTCAGATGTTAATTTCTGAGCTTCCTTTTTTGATGTGACATTCTGCACCTCTGCTGGAGGGTCTTCCACAGACAGACGTGCAAGGCCTGCCTTTTCAAAGGTTTCCAATAGGCACAGGCCACCTGTGTTTATGAAAGTAGCTCTCTCTACATGTGAGCTTATTCAAACTCAAAACTGTAGTTTTCCCTCTACTGTCAATTGCTTTGAAACTGCAGAAGAGAAACAAAAGGTTACCTTAGGGAAAGGCATCCACAGACAAAGAGAGTGAAAGCAAAGATCCCATGTGACTTAAACTGTGTGGAGTGCTATAATAAAACACCATGAAACAGGCAGCTTACACATGACAAAATTTATTTTTCATAGTTCTGGAGGCTAGAAAGTGCAAGAGCAAGATGCTGGCAGATTTGGAGTCTGGTAGGGCTGTGCTTTCTAGTTCATAGATACCTTCCTACTGTGTCCTCACAAGGAGGAAGAGACAAAGCCATTTTCTGTTGTATAAGGATCTCAATCCCCATCAATGAGAGTCCACTCTCATGATGTAGTCGCTGACCCTTGAAAAGGTGCCACCCCCTAATGTAATCACATTGGCGATTGGCGATTGAGTTTTAAATAGGGATTTTTGGGAAAGGATCTAGACATTCAGAGCCCAGCAATGACTATCAGCATTACATATCTTTCTTGCATTTAAGATCAATTAGTTCACTCCAGTTCATTCCAATTCATTCATTCCAATTCATTCACTGAAGTCAGCCAGGATTTTAAGTATGAAGGACATGCTGAAGACTTAGTCACTTAGGGATTGGTTAGCAACTCTTGCAAGGTCATTGCTCTTCAGGATCACCTGTGAGGTTTGGTGCTAGGTAGCAGTGTCACATGGAAGTCTAAGGCCTAATGAAGGACAAGAATTTTACAAAAATCTTGCCAAGACTTATTTTTCCATTTCATACAACTCTTCCCTTATTGGTGTTTTAGCACATTTGGGTTCCAATGGCTTGGTTAACTGTAATTCTACTGTCTGATTTAATTAAGAGCATTTATTCACTTGAAAGGCTCACTTTGACAGTGCCCCAGGTACTTTCCAAATGTATTCTCTTTTCTTTGATAATATCTTCTCTTTGAAAAGACTTCTTTTCCCTTTTGAGACTTGACTTCTTCTGTCCTTAGGTTGAGTTTCGATGAAGGGAGATCGTGGAGCAAATACAGTTTCACATCTATTCCACTCTTTGTGGATGGGGTTCTTGGTGAGCCTGGGGAAGAGACTCTAATCATGACGTAAGTAGAAAATGGTGAAATGTTCCATCATCTAAGAGGGTAAACCCAGAAAGCCGTTTTTATAGCTAAGCCTATTTGACTTGAAGTCATTGAGGTCTGAAGTTGTTAATAAAATCATTGCCTCTTACTGCAAGAGTATCCAGCAAAGAAACAAAAATGTTGGCAATTCCTTTCTTGACTCTGATTGTTTTTAGGAAACCCAAACAAAGAGTACTAGAAGGGCAAAGCTATTTTCTTTCTATATTCAGTGAGTTAGAGAAATCAGAAGAGGTTATTTCAATGGAAAATAAAGCTATACATTTGCAACTTTAATAATAAACAAACAATATTTAGAAAATCTAGGCATATGAGAATGATTTCATTTTGAGTCAGAATACAATGTTTGATCAAAACCCCACAAAGAATTTTATTTTTCCATGGCTCTTTACCTAACTCAATTGTGAGGCATATTAGGAAAGCCATGAGAACAATCTGTTCGTGAAATTTCATTTATGCTTTCTTGCCTGGAAACTGATGATCATTAATTTGTGAAAGACTTGATTAATGACTCAGCTGCTTGCGGGTTTCAAAATATGGACTTTGAATTTGAAATATGAAACACTGATATTTCCTTTCTTTGGAAAACTGGACATGGAGAACACCAAGAGGAGATTTTTAAATAGTTGATCTCATCATTAATGAAAATTTTAAAATCAAAGAGAATAGTTGGCCTATTTCCTAAATATCTGCCTCTACACTTTTTTCAATGGTAGAAAATGACAATAAAAATTTAATATGCCTAATAGCTACACTTTGGCTCAAGGAAAATATAGCTAGGTAACAGTTTACCCTGCAATTTGTTTTTATTCAATGTTTATATTTGCAAAAAACAGACTTAAGAAGCTGACCAAAAAGGCCAGTTTGTGGCTTTTATCCACACCTATGACTGGTGATTCAAATGCCTCATTAAATTCCAGAGACTCCCTGAGTAAAGAGAGTAGAATGCACAATGTAGGAATAGTTATTACTACTTGACTCTGCTGCCAGCTTCCCCTACAGACTGGTAGGAAGGTATACTTGCATGAAAACCACAGAAACCATGACAATTTCGTGAGTACCATGAAGTTATAATGGAATGGGCAGTATAGGAACCATGTACATTAGAGTGGTCAACTTGAACCACATATGTTACACCATTTGTAACTGTTTTCTCAACCATTGTTTTGGTAAAATATGTACAGTCGGGCTCTTGATTCAGTCACTGTGGTTCTGGCTGTACCAGTGGTAAGTGGCTAGACTGTGGCATTCACATGTTGACAAAACTCTTTGAGCCTAAAGTTATGCATCTGTGCAATGGAGCCAGTAATATTATCCTCCCCATAAATGTATTTTGAGGATTAAATGACATAAAGCATGTAGTGTGCATAGCATTGCACTCAACTCACAATAAGCCGCACGTGGCAGTTACTGTTCTTATGTTGTTATTATTGTGATTATATTTCTCATCGTGAACCCTGTAGAGTGTTTGGACACTTCAGCCACCGCTCCGAATGGCAGCTGGTCAAAGTGGACTACAAGTCCATTTTTGATAGGCGCTGTGCCGAGGAGGACTACAGACCATGGCAGTTGCACAGCCAGGTAGGAGGGAAATACCTGACTCTGGGCCTTTGGCAGGAGGCATGGGAGGTGTTGGGGGATGACAAGTCCTGAAGGTGTGGGAGGTAGAGTTCTCCATACCAGGATACCCATCTACATGTTTTGAGTTTCACAGCAGTGAACAAACTCAACGTTTGAAGCTGCTTGTGAAGTCATTTCTGTTTTTATTATGGAAGATATAATGAGATAAAATTCAAATGTGCTTGGCATAAACTTACAACCCAAAATGAAATACCAACTCAGCACTGAGATCCAAACATAATTTATTGGAGCGTGTCCCATGGTAGGGGGAGGGGAAAGAGATGATCTTCAATTTTATCTAGCAATGCAAAGGTGAGACATAAAATAACAAAATTATGCTGGGTGAGCAGTGCCAAGAAAATCCTTCCTCCCTGTTGCCTTGATTCCCTGGGATTTTATAGTGCTTCTTCCCTCCTTTCCAGATACTCATGGTACAAAAATGAAGATTTTTTTAATAGGAAATTTTCCTATACCCTGCACTCTCAATTATTCAGCAAATATCAGAATGCTTAGATAAAGCGATTAGTTCTTATTTCCCAAGGTAGAAGTCATCCTGCAGCCCTCTCAAAGGATCTGGTAGAATTTCTTGCTGCAAAGTCACCACCATAATCAGGGAAATATCATGTATATTTTAACCCTGGACTGAGAACTGTATTTACATATGGGTGTGTAATGGAGCCAATTACAGTGAGTTTCCTTGGGAAAGGTGGTACATAGTAGATTAAACAAAATTCTGCTCTGGTCTTTCAGAAACACAATGGGAACTGTGTTTGGTTCTCAGCACTATATTAGCTAGAAACTCATTTTATTCAGAGATTCAGCAATAAAATAGTCTCTCATTTACATTGCTGAATTTTCCTCTATGGGATGCATAAGCATGGCGATATTCAAAGCCTTTATTTATTTCATGGGAAAGCAATGAATTTAGCTCTCTTGCTTGTCTGGTAGACGAGCATAAAGTCAGTGCTATAAAGTTGTATGGGCAGCAGCATAATAAATCGGAGCAAAATGTATCTTTATATTTCCTAGCAATCCTCTTCTTCCTTGTGCTTATAAATGACCAACTGTGTCAGTCTTTCATTACAGAAGAGCTACACTTAATTACTGCAGGTTTGTTGGCAATACACCAGTTACAGGCTGAGTCTTGCTTATCTGTGTGTCTCTCATGGCACTGCCCTTAACACCTAGCCAAATACAGTTTTACTGAATACCTGAGAAGTTAGGTCTGTATTTGACATACCTCCAGTGCTTCTTAGGATTGCCTTCCCAGTCATGTTCTGTAGTAGATCTCTATTCACCAAAAAGAAAATGCTGTTAGTCCAAAGTGTGCTCCCACATTACACCAACGTTTGGGACCATCTCCCTGAACTGCCCGGATATGCAGCAAGGAAAGTCCCGACTCTGCCCGACTGTGATCCGTGTCTCCTTCCAGGGGGAAGCATGCATCATGGGAGCAAAAAGGATATATAAGAAGCGAAAATCAGAACGGAAGTGTATGCAAGGGAAGTACGCTGGAGCTATGGAATCTGAACCCTGTGTCTGCACAGAGGCCGATTTCGACTGGTGAGCTTGCACTTATCCCATGGAGTCATTAGTATTTCAGATCCACATAGGCCTTCCTGAAAGCTTAGACTAAAATAAAGTAACATGTACAGGGCTAAGGCGCAGGCCCCATATTCTGTTTCCTTCCTTCCTTCCTTCCTTCCTTCCTTCCTTCCTTCCTTCCTTCCCTCCCTCCCTCCCTCCCTCCCTCCCTCCCTCCCTCCCTCCCTCCCTCCCTCCCTCCCTCCTTTCTTTCTTTCTTTCTTTCTTTCTTTCTTTCTTTCTTTCTTTCTTTCTTTCTTTCTTTCTTTCTTTCTTTCTTTCTTTCTTAAATTTGTTTGACAGGTAGAGTTATAGACAGTGAGAAAGAGAGACAGAGAGAAAGGTCTTCCTTCCATTGGTTCACCCCCCGAATGGCTGTTACGGCTGGCGCTGCGCCAATCCGAAGCCAGGAGCCAGGTGCTTCCTCCTGGTCTCCCATGCGGGTGCAGGGCCCAAGCACTTGGGCCATCCTCCACTGCCCTCCCGAGCCACAGCAGAGAGCTGGACTGGAAGAAGAGCAACTGGTACTAGAACCCAGTGCCCATATGGGATGCTGGCGCTGCAGGAGGAGGATTAACCAAGTGAGCCATGGCCCCGGCCCCAGACCCCATATTTTTGTAACATTACCTCTTGGGAACTTTATGGCTACTAACTGTATACATATGCATATCGGAGAATCTGGCATTTCTTTAGGTTAAAAGGATTCTAATAATTATTGTCACCTTGTTGATAGAGTTTCAAATAAAAAAAGAGTCAAATGCACCATGGGCTGTTTCAAGGAGCATCACTGAAAGCAATAAATGGGTTTCTCAGCAAACAAAGATGTTTGTACTCTAGATAGAATGTTTTAGAATTAAGGGTCCCTGGTAATTGAACAGTGGCCTTATAAGGCAGGAAGTTTTCTGTGCCTGGAAGTTTTCTATCAGCGCTTAGCTGTCCACAGTTAACGAGAGCTGTGGAAGATATTTCTAAACTCCATGCAAGGATGGATTTGATGGCTTTGTAATTCTGTGACTCTGTGAACCTGATGATAAAGGAGGCTTCTTTCTTTACTAGGATTAAACAAGTGTAAACTGAAAAAAACTGAGGCATTTGAAGGTTAAACTAAACTCAGAGTGCTGTAGAGTTCTTCCTAGAAAATTTGCTAAGCAGAAAGCTAGCTTGGGGGAGCCAGCCATGGCCTTGTCTTGTTCTTGGTAGATGTTCAGTATTCAGGTAAACGTGACAAATGATGAGGATGAGTAGGTGGTACCTCCTTTGGGTAGTTTCTGTCTCATTTTCTATTGTTTTTCCCCCTTCTTCTTTTTAATTTTTTTAATTTATGAGTATATTTTTACTTTAATGAAAGCAGTTGGTAAATATAATGTTAAACAACTGAATCTTGACCTGTGTAAGACCTAAAATCATTCCTTAATGTTTTATTTTCTTAGATGTTTATTTGTTTGAAAGGCATAGTGACAGAGAGAGGGGAAAGACACACAAACCCACAGAGAGAGAGAGAGAAAGCAAGAGCAAGAGAGGGAGAGAGAGAGAGTCATCTATCCACTGGTTCACTCCCCCAAATGGCCCTAAAAACTGGGTCTGGGCCAGAGTGAAGTCACGAGCCAGGAACTCCATTCTGGTCTCCCACTTTGATGGCAGGGGCCCAAGTACTTGTACAATTTTCTGCTTTCCCTGGTCCATTAGCAGGGAGCTCCATTCAAAGGGGAGAAGTCAGGAGTCAAAAGGGAACTTCAATATGGAATGCCAGCATCGCTGGTGGTGGCTTAACCTGCTGTGACACAATGCTGGCTCTAGCATCTTACTTCCTGCTGTGTACCAATCACAACATACATTTCATGAAGCTGTCAGTGGTTGGGCTGAAAGACTATATAAGTTCATCTTATGCATCTCAGAAAAAGTAAACCTTCACTCGTGATAGACCTCTGGAGATGTGCTCTGCATAAAAAGTACAGGGAAAGCCTGGCAAACTAGGTGCCAATAGTCAGACCAAAAAAAACCCATGGCTGTTCCCCTCTTGCTGATGAACAAGGCACCCCAAGGACCAGTGCTATACATCCTTGGGCTGAATCACACAGCAGCAGAGCTTCAGGTACATTACAGCTCACAAGGAATTCTGCAGGGACTTCGTCAGCCATGGCTTGTGCTGTAGTCAGTGCAACATTACCTTTTTACAGTGATGAAAATATTTTATGCTTATCCTACCTACCCTAAAATACATTCACAAGTAAGACTACCATGAGATTTGAGGCATTCATCCACATCCTTCTTTCTGAAGCCTGGCGGATTCTCCTTCATCCACTCTATTCAAGGAGGATTGGCAAATAAAGTTAGCATTTTACATAGTGGCTTATCTTTGGCTTTTCAAAACAGCCATTCTTTTGCAGAGAGCAGATTTATTCTGTAGCAGAAAAACCAAAGTGAAAGAGTAAGGTGAAATGTCCAGCCTTCTGATTACTTCTAGAAACATTTGCTTCATTGGCAATCATTTCTATGGAGTGCCAAAATAAGCATAGTCTTTGTTGTTATCATTGTCGTTGTTGCTTTTTGTTTTCAGTTGCGAGCTAGTCCAGGGTAAGGGGAACACTGGCTAAGGGAGGCAGTTTGGGTTCTCTCATCTCCCATCCCTCACTCTGCTTAATGTTGTTCCAATCATTATATTCATCTGTGATTGGAGTCTGCTACGCATCGCCCCAGTTGAAATGCATCCTGAGAAGTAGGAAATGAAACATGAGCAGGGTCATTATAAAATTTCCTGGTCAAATTGGGATTTTTGTAACTGCATGAGTTTAGAAAATTTCTGAAGGCTCACGGTAATGTCATTTCTAGCAGCAGCTGGAGTTTGTTTGATTTCTCCTGGCTTTAGAAAGGTGGTTGTCACTGAATATTCTCTCTTGGCTCGCCCCTGGACAGTCCCCGGGTGACCTTGACTTTCATTCTCCGGTATTTGTGAAGTAATTCTCTGAAGTGAACACTAGGCATCCTCTAAGTAGCTGTTTGGAAATCCTCCTACCCACCTGTTGAGCCAGCACCAAATCCACCCGGTATATGCAGAACATTGAGTAACAGCTGCTTGGCGACTGGTCCCTGCGCTGAAACTATTTTTCCTTCCTGACCCCCGTATGCCAGCATCTCACCTCCACTGCATAGATGGGCCAACTCATTCTCCTGCTTGCTGTTTCTGCCTGCACATGTGGAGGTGCAATTTGTTGTCATTCTCTGTGTCCAGGTTCAACTTCCAAAAGCCAAGAGCATTAGACCACTGTGAGCACTCTGGAAACAAGAATTAGAGGCAGAGAAGTAAGTCTCTGACTATCTACAAAGCAGAAAGATTTAAAGCATCAGTCCCAATTGGCAGCAATAACTAACTAGGGCAAAACTTTGCCTTAGAGGAATGCTAGAGACAGCCCTGAAGGACATTCCCTTTTTGGCTGTGACTTTGAAGCATATGGCTTGTGCACAGAGAGACCTGGCTCATCTCTGCCTGGTGCATCCAGATGTCTTGGAAGAGCATACCAAAGACATCACTAGTAATGAGAATTGTACTACAAGTGCTGTGTCAAATCCTACAGTGAAATGTTCACTGAGAGTTTCCCCCTCTATAGTCTTCTCTGACCTAACCTGAATCAGTAATGTGTATCTTTCTTATGGTAACACAATCTATTCTTTAAGCTTAAAGGTAGTTATGTAGGATTATTGATTTTACAGAATATTTTCATGGATGATTGGTAGATAATTCTATGTGAAATAAGTTCCAGTTTGAGAAAGCATTGATCTTAGGGACTGCTTGTTTTGTTTTTGTGACTGATTGAATAGAATGGAAGTAGACTGTGGTTTAACAAGGAACTGTTCTGAGTGATTTTGCCACCTACTGAACAGTTGTTCTTGGCTCTTTCTCTGCAGTGATTATGGCTATGAGAGACACAGCAATGGCCAGTGCCTGCCAGCTTTTTGGTTCAACCCATCCTCTCTGTCAAAGGACTGCAGCGTGGGGAAGAGTTATCTCAACAGCACTGGGTGAGTTTCGGAGGCAGTGACCTGAAGATCCCAGCCTGTGGTGCTCCTTAGCATGTGTTGTACTAACAGAGTCACTTCTGATCGCGGACTAGGCCTGTTACTTCAAAGTACAACATACTTGCTTTCGTTCATTTAAATAATGAGACACATGTTTGCATGGTTAGTGCAGATTTCATCTTTCAAGTAAAGAAATGAGAAAAGTTCCTTGGATGAAGATGATGATGATTATACATCAATTTCTTCATTTTTTGAAGCTTTATTGCTGATCTATTTAATCATGTGAAGTTACCTTTTATTTACACTACATCCCTGTGAGACATCTGAATAGATATTTTGCATGTGCATCTTTTGTCTTATAGCCATGGAACCTGAAGTCAGAAAAGAGTTCACTGAGTACACTAGTGTTACATGTGAAACATGTATTGTGATCTTTATGGAACTGGACTCAGATCTGAAAATGTTGTGTTTGATATTCTGTGTCAGGGGTGTATCGAATATTATTTAAGAAATAGCTAAAAGGGTCAACATCCCATAGCTTTACCACAAATGTAATCGATATTTATAGACTTAAATATAGTTGTGGAATTTACTTGGTTTCTGATTAAAGAAATAATCTGTAAAAAGACATTTCTGAGCCCTTGCGGAAAACCAAATATGAACTGATTCGGGAGATGTATGTAATAATGTTATCCAGAGAAAAGAACAAATAGGATGTGTACTCAATATGAAAAGATGGCTTGCAAAGAGTTGCCTCACTTGACTTTGGAGACAGAAACTGCACAATCTGAAGACCGGATTAGTAAGCCAGAGGCCCAGGAGAGCTGATGATTCAGTGCATTTTTTTTTGTGTGTCTTTTTGTTTGTGTTTTTTTGTTGTTGTTTGTTTCCTTTTTTAAAAATATTTATTTATTTATTTGAAAGTCAGAGTTACACAGAGAGAAAAGGAAAGGCAGAGAGGGAAGCCAGGCACCAGAAGCTTCTTCTGGGTCTCCCACAAGGGTGCACGTGCCCAAGGACTTGGGCCATCTTCTACTGTTTTCCCAGGCCATAGCAGAGAGCTGGATTGGAAGAGGAGTAGCGGGGACTCGAACCTGCGCCCATATGGGATGCTGGGCCTGCAGGCAGCGACTTTACCCACTACGCCACAGCACTGGCCCCGATTCAGTGCATTTTGGAAATGAATTCCTTGAAACCAAAACAATAATGCCATCCAATGACTAGCAAGTTGGAGACCCAAGAGTGGATGTTTCAGTTTCAGGCTGGAGGCAGGGGAAGCGCCAGTGTCTTAGCTTGAATGTTGTCAAGGCAAAGGGAATTGTCTCTCACTATGGACACTGTCAAACTGCCAGCATCTTTGTTCTTTTCAGTCCTTCAACTAATTGGACAAGGCCCACCCACACTAAGGATGGCAACCTGCTTCCCTAAGTCTGTCTGTTCTAATTACTCTCATCTACAACTGTCCTCACAGAAACACCCAGAATAACATTGGACCAAATATTTGGGCACTCCGTGACCCAGTAAAGCTGACACATCAGTTACATATTTAGTTGTGGTAAAGGTATTTTGGTTAGGCTAAGGAGTAAGAAACCTTATCATTAGAGATACATAATATGTGAGTTAGTTTTAAAAATTTTTAAAAAGGGTTAGGTATTGATAATTTTTGAAGATAAATTCATGGGCACATGGAGGTGTGCTACACAATTTTCCCTGTGTGTATTTTGAAAGTTCTGATTTTGAAAAGTTAGAAAGAAAAGAAGAGAGTGAGTGAGGAGAGAGAAGGAAGCCAGGAAGGGGAGGAGGGAGGGAGGAAGGGATAAGTGAGGGAAAGGGAAAACTTCCACAGTAAACTACATCTGCTTGTCCAAACTTTTCATTGCTCACACCAGATGCAGCCCAGGGAATCCACAGGGTAGGTGAAATTTCTAGTTATGTACTTCTGTATTTGGAAATGTTAAGTTTTTTTTTAATTTTAAAAAGATTACCAAAATAATATATGATATTATTTTAAAAAAGGGAAAAGACATGGAAATGGAGTCCACACTTGATCTTAGCCAAAAGGCCAAGAAGCAAAACTATTCCTGTTAATGATGTTGGGAATTCCTACAACCTCCAAAAGAAGGAATACTCTTTCATTTGAATGATAACAAAATATGACAAAAATGCACATAACATTTTTACAACAACGGGTCATTGAGATCTTAAGCATCTAGTCAGAGGTTAAAAAAAAACAGGTGAAAAATAGCTAAACTTTATGGGGACAGAATTTTGTTACTTGCATATACTAAGCTGTTTAGGCATCAGAAAGAGCATTGGAATCCCCTAAAGTTAATTTAAGAATTGACATTTTTTTACCAAGTCCATGAGTCTAGGAAGTTATATTTTTCCTTTTTTAGTATTAATGAGAGGAGACTGAAGCACAGAAGGGTCAGAATTGTTCTAGATGCTACCCAATTTATAGGAACAAGGCAGTCGACCCTTACTTTTCAGTTTATTGAGATTTTATGAATCCTAACATAAAACACCAGAAATGATTAAATTATGATTTCTGGGTTTTTTGTGTTTGTTTTTTTGACAGGCAGAGTTAGACAGTGAGAGAGAGAGAGAGAAAGGTCTTCCTTCCGTTGGTTCACCCCCAAAATGGCTGCTATGGCCAGTGCACTGCGCCAATCCAAAGCCAGGAGCCAGGTGCTTCCTCATGGTCTTCCATGTGGGTGCAGGGCCCAAGCACTTGGGCCATCCTCCACTGCTTTCCCGGGCCACAGCAGAGAGCTGGCCTGGAAGAGGAGCAACCAGGACAGAATCCGGCACCCCAACCAGGACTAGAACCCGGGGTGCCAGCGCTGCAGGCAGAGGACTAGCCAAGTGAGCCGCGGTGCCAGCCAAATTATGATTTCTGTTTAAGGTGATTTATTATCTGTATCCTTTAAGATTAAAACTACAATTTTATTGAAAAACGTGATTAATCAATAAGTGTCCAGACATAGCAGTGCTTGTCAATGCAGTTATGTTGCATAGTCATAGAAATCATATCATGTCCCAGAGATGGACCGCCTTTCCCAGGGGTTGGTTTCTATCCATGGGTATACCTGACAGCATCTGGCATGAAGTAATTTTTATTAAATTGCCACATTCACTCATTTCATGTATTCTGTTCAAACATTTTGCAAGAAAGCATCATCATTGTGACCAAGATTATATAAAGAGTGCACATGACAAATACCAGCCATCAGCAGGAATGACAGTTGTCCTGCTTTCAAGAAAAGGAGTTCAAAGGTGGAGAAGGGACCACCCAAATAAGGTTATGCAGGTTAACATCAAAAGAAGAGGTGTCAGTAGTAACCCCAATGATTAGCACTGTGGTTAAATACACCTTGGCATTAGGAATAAGAAGACCTTTAGCTGGAACTAGAGCCTGAAGAAATCTTCAAAGAAAACTTCACACTGCTGAATTCCCATCTGTAGGATCTGAAACCGAAGCAAGAGTTGACAAGAGGTAAAATGTAGTGAAGAAGCAGGAGAATGTTCTGTGCTTCTTCATGTCACTCCACCCCCTCATACCAGATGTCATTTGGCCATATGTTGACTCTGGGCATTTCATAGGCACAAATTCCATGTTCAATGCTGTAGCCACTACAATGCTGCTATTAGACATTTAGCTTTTCACTTACAATATTTAATTTCCAAAAAATACATAAGTTTCATGTGAAAATACTAATTTAGATCATCCCCCAAGTACTGGCTCCCGTTGCTGTACTACTGTGATCTACTTGATATGCATGCTTCCAAACACTTTCTTTCCCATTTGCGGGAGAGTAATTATGCTGAGAGAAAACAAAGTTATTTGGGGGAGTTACTTTATATGTGATTTCCTTCTAGATATATTGTTCCAATTACTTTTTCATTCAAAAACATGAAAGAATATGTAGCGCTACCTTCTGTTTTATTTCTTTTCATTGTGTTGTATTAAATATTAAAGGGCTACTTAGTTATCCTCTGTCAGGTACTTGTGCTTTTTTTGTCTTTTTCTACTACCATAAATAATGCTGCAGTGAGTATTCCCTAGCCCATAATACTTGTTATTTAAAACCCACAAAGATATTCGAGTGTCTTTAAGCAAATGAAGATGTTTCAGCTAGCTCATGAAGAAAGTTCCACTCAGCCAACTGTTTTCTTCTCAGACTTGAGTATCAGGCATTGCCAAATCCTTCCCCACCAAGGATTAAGACAGTAACTTCCTGGGGCCACTGCTGTGGTGTAGCCGGTAAAGCCACCGCCTGCGGTGCCGGCATCCCACATGGGCGAGACCCGGTTGCTCCACTTCTGATCCAGCTCTCTGCTTTGGCCTGGGAAAGCAGTAGAAAATGGCCCAGGTCCTTAGGACCCTGCACCCACATGGGAGACCTGGAGGAAGCTCCTGGCTCCTGGCTTCGGATTGGCACAGCTCTGTTGCAAGCACCTGGGGAGTGAATCAGCAGACTTTCTCTCTCTCTCTCTCTCTCTCCTCTCTCTCCTCTCTCTCCTCTCTCTCCTCTCTCTCCTCTCTCTCCTCTCTCTCTCTGTCTCTATGTCTGCCTCTCTGTAACTCTGCCTTTCAAGATTTATTTATATAAATCTTTAAAAAAAAAAAGACAATAACTTCTGCTCACCGGCTACTATGAGTCCCACAAGTTACAGATTCACCTGCATTAACCACTATCCTTTTTGAAATACAAATGTCTGGATTGTATAAGGGGAGAGGTGGGGAATGCAGTAGGATTTTGCCACGTTAGTAAAATGAGGAATATTGTTTCAGGCAAAAGAATACGAGATGACCGTGTCTTAAGGGCCACACTGGTGACTTTGTCAGGGACAAGATGTGACACGTGTCTTGAATGTTTTAGAATTAAGGAACCACCTGTACCTCAAGGCTCTCCAGTGCCAGTTTAAACCATTCCGTGGCCACCTTATTCTGTCTACAAAATCTGTATTAGCCTTAGGGTTGGGATGAAGAGCAGTAGGACCGCAAGTGAGGGATTGCCTGCAGGTGGGTGCCCCTGTTCATGTTGCTGGCGGGTGCTTCACGGGCCTCCTCTACTCAGCATAGCACGTGGTGCAGACATGCAGTCCGAATGTGAGCTGAGTGGTAGTGGATCTCTCTCCAGGTGACCAATAGCCCTTGCGCCTCAGTCCAGTGGTGGCAGGGAATGCAGTGACCACTGCATGGAACAGTCTGATCCAAGTCTCCTGATGGGTTTCTGCTGTCTGCTTCCTACCGCCTACACCTTTTCCCTTTCCAACGTCCATGTGCCTTTTCACGTGTGCAAGGAGAGCAAGGAGGCTGATGCAGGCACCTCCACCTGCTACGTATCAAGAGTGAAATATAATTGAGTATGTTTAGTTTGCTGAAAAAGAAAATAGTTTGGGATTGAGACAGTTAAAATATTTTCAATCCAAGTTCTTCATTTACTGTTATTCTAACAATAGAATGGAATGTTTTTATGAATCTTAGCTTCTTAACCTATACAATTTTGCTCATTGCCTTCAGTGTTTATAAACATGATACCATATATGAAATATGTGATAGTGCCTACCACATGGCCATTACATTATAAAATGCAGATGACATCATCAATAATTATCACCTAAGGGCTTCTCTAGAGTGAAGGAAAAAAGAGGGGAAGCATTTCCTTTCATTGTATTTCTTTAGTCCAGATGTGAATTTGATGCTTACTAGTTACTGAAATACTGAGATATAGGAAGCATTTGACCTAAACCCCTGTTCCCTCATCTGTAAAACAAAAAGTAATAACCTGCATAGGCTCAGGAAGTTACATAATTAGGAAGTGACGAAACCATTGTGCACCAGAACACATGCCATCCCTCTGTGCTCCTCTGGCCAGATGACTTACTCACGTGATGACTGAACAAGTTCCTTTTGCTCAAATACAATGAGATCAGTACTCATGTGTTCCTGCTGAAAAGACTCCAAATTCATTCCTCCTTGTTTCTCCAGCAGTGTCTATAAATATCTCAGTTCGCACATACGTAAACACCAGCTCCTGACGCTATGCTTATGTATGGTTCATCCTGTTTATTCTGTTTCAGAACCAGGGAACATGCCTCAAATTTAAGTTGCTAAATTAACTGGGACGTTACTTGTTTCATGTAAAAGACTCTGTAAATATAAAGTGAGCGTTGGTTTATTCTAAGATGCCAAGATAATCTTCTCAGGGGACACATTTGTTCTTGCTATTAAACTGGAAGTATTTCTAGATGTGTTTTTAAAAGTGTGTATAGAGATTTCTGTCTGTGGAATTTCTTTACAGGAGCTGTTAATTTCCTCAGGGAAGAGTGTTCAGAGACAACTTTTTCTGTGCTTCAGAGTTACTTTCCCCTATATACAATGGGGATGTATACTCAAGAAGCATAAATTTTTAAAAATAGCATAAATTTAGTATATAAAATATTTGGTGGGTCCAGGAAAAAATAAACTCTTTTCCTAAAAAAAGCTTTATTTATGTATTTGAAAGGCAGAACTACAGAGAGATAGAGAGAGAGAGAGGAAGAGACATAGAGAAAGTGAAAAGGAAGAGAAATTTCCATCTGCTGACTCACTCCCCAAATGGTCGCAACCCAAAGCCAGGAGCCAGGAGTTTCATCAGGGTCTCTCACATGGGCAGGAGCCCAAGTTCATGATTCATCTTCCATTCTTTCCCAGGTGCCTTAGCAGGGAACTGGATCAGAAGTGGAGCAGCTGGGGCTGGCGCTGTGGTGTAGTGAGTAAAGCTGCCACCTGCAGGGTCAGCATCCCATATGGGCGCCGGTTCTAGTCCTGGCTGCTCCACTTCCAATCCAGCTCTCTGCTATGGCCTGGGAAAGCAGTAGAGAATGACTCAAGTCCCCGGACCCCTGCACCTGCATGGGAGACCTGGAGCAAGCTCCTGGCTCTTAGTTTCAGATTGCCGCAGCTCTGGCCATTGCAGCCAATTGGGAAGTAAGCCAGCGGATGGAAGACCTCTCTTTCTCTCTGTCTCTCCTTTTCTCTCTGTGTAACTCTGACATTCAAATAAATAAGTAAATCTTTAGGAAAAAAAAAAAAGAAGTGGAACAGCCAGGATTCGAACTGGTTCCATTATGGTATGCTGATGTCACAGGTGGTGGCTTAACCTGCTGCACAACACCAGCCCCCCCAAAAATAAATTCTAACAAAATTAATACTCTCAATACTATCAATGTATCTTTAGAGTATTTTTAAAAAGCTTTCTGTAAATATATTCATCCTTACATCACCCATAGAGAACTTAAAACCCTGGCTACCCTGCCATTGTCCTGGATTCTCTATTCCCAGAGTCTTTGAGGACTGCAATCTCTTTCCAGGTGACTGTTGAGGGGGTCCTGTAGGGATTTTGAAGTTCAGTCTGATATGCCTTCAAGGAGATTCGTCAGTGTGCATCAAGGACAATAATTGACCCGAAAATTCATGCATGTGTTTCAAGTCCACAGAAGGGAAAACATTTGCTTTGTTTACAGACTTATCAAAGTAGGGGTCTGTGTAGCTGTGTCCAGGCAAACTTGGTGCAATCTCAAAGCAGACACCCAATAACTCTTTGTTGCTATGAACTTGACTCTTTGTCAGATGGGTTATTGCAGTTTTCATGGAATGGAATTGGAGTTGTACAATGAAAAAGTTGCCTGTCCCTGCGTGTGGATACCTATCTTCCTATGTGGTGGTTCTTCGCACATCAGCAGTATTGGCATTAATGATTCTCTTCCAGATGCTAAAGCATAGTAGTAAGTGGACATCAAACTCAGTTAAGAGGCTCAGAATTTCTTTTCTTTTTTTTTTTTAATTTATTTGACAGGTAGAGTTGTAGACAGTGAGAGAGAGAGCCAGAGAGAAAGGTCTTCCTTCCATTGGTTCACTCTCCAAATGGCCGCAACAGTCGGTGCTGTGCCAATCTGAAGCCAGGAGCCAGGTGCTTCTTCCTGGTCTCCCATGCAGCTGCAGAGGCCCAAGCACTCCGGCCATCCTCCACTGCCCTCCCAGGCCACAGCAGAAAGCTGCACTGGAAGAGGAGCAACCGGGACTAGAACCCAGCGCCCATATGGGATGCTAGCACCACAGGCAGAGGATCAACCTAGTGCACAATGGCACCGGCCCCTCGGAATTTCTGATTGTCCCCTGCATGACCTTGGGCAACTGTTAACTGTGTCTTTTTGTCCTTATGTGCAAAACACATAAGAATGATCTTTAAGATCCCTTTGAGCACTGCCATTTCCATGATCTCAACTGAAATGATTCAGTATTCAGATTCCACGGACTGCATGGAAATTTCCTTATATAACTGCTTGTATAAATGTATATACTGCTTTATACAGCCGTTTGACACAGGTAGTAGATTCTATGAGCCATTTATGATTCTTGGTGTTAAGTCGTTTAGTTAAGTGTGGCCATGTGTCCCATTTCATCAAGCTGGTGATCTAAATGAAGTCACATTCAATTTAATATTTAAATCCAATTACCTGTGTTCCCATTCTGTTTAATTCAAGGTAAAGCTTTTTTCTCTCCACCTGGTCTTCAGTCTCGTGCCAGCCCCCCTCACCCTTGGGTTAGCTTATTCAGTTGAAGGCAGAAGTCCTCAGAGATGTTGCCTTGAGGATACTGATGAGGTAAATCTGCCTAGTCATCCATGGAATTCCATTCTTTCTGGATGCTGATGTTAAGGCTACCAGCTAAATTATTGCTGATGTGTGGGAACTTTGCCATCCCTGAGGACAACTTGTCATGTGGAATCCCATTTGAAGCATAAATGGCCATCGTCAGGCCACATGTTTCCACTCGCAAAGAGTCACAATGGTTTATGGATGTCCAACAACCAGTGCGGTCTGTCAGTCTGGAAGTCTGTTCAATCCCTGTTCACTAGACATCAGGAGATCTGGTCCCCCGCTACGACTGTTTTCCTGGAAGCAGTTTCTCAGGGTGCAGGATTGGAATAATCTGTCTCTGTCCCAGTTGTAAGCTATGCAGCTGTAGCCCTGTATCTCTAATGTCAGACACCTATAGGTGTAGAGCTCTTCTAATTTACATCTATGAACATACACACGTCACCATTTCCCCTGCTGCATACCTGCATTGCTAAGGTGGTGAGTCTAAGAAGATTTTAAGTCTTGTCCATTCACTGTACCCAGAGCTAGGCTGTTCTCTAGCCTCATGCCTTCTTTGATTTCATGCTTCGTTAGTCCTTGGTCCATTGCAACAAAGCAGGGTACTCCCTGGAAAGCAGAAGCACATAGTGTAAGCCAAGGATCAAAATGATTCATTTCTCAGAGTGCAGATGAGGGACACCGCAGCTCAGTGACAATAATACCTACCTGGGGTTACCGTCCAGTTCTGCCATCAGCAATTACATGTGATAACTTTTGTGAAAAAAGGGAAGAGGTAGCTTTGCAGAAAATCATGATCTCAAAGCCAATTTTTAAGGAAAGAGTAGAGGTTTGATAGGAGGAAACACAGCCCATGTAGCATGAACAGAAGCATGTGGTTTTCAGGGTGGCCTGAGTGCAGGAACCATGTAAGGCATTGGGAAGATGAATGCCGTTAGCCCAGACCGTGGATCTTTGCTTTCAATGTGAAGTTTACCCTTTTGAAAAACCCATGGGATGTCTTGAATGATTTTAAGAAAAGAATTGACATGATTGGATTTGATCTTGAGATGATCTTAGCAATAAAACACAGTTTCCATCAGGAAATACTTGATGCTTAATATGTAAATACTGACTTTTTACTAACATTTGATAGTTTACTAAGTCCCTACACTGTGTCAGATTGTGGTAAACCTTTTACATAGCATTATCTCATTTAATTTTCCTAAGACTTTTTGGAAAGATCCAATGATTATTCCTACTTTTAAAGGAAACATAACCAAAGATGACGGACAGGTTGAAAAAGAGTTCCCCAAGTTCATCTAATAACTGAGAGCTTGAATTTAAACAGTCAATTTGTGCACTGGTTTTAACCTTCAGGGTTAACATTAATTGTAGCTGTGGCCGGCGCCGCGGCTCACTAGGCTAATCCTCCACCTTGCGGTGCCGGCACACCGGGTTCTAGTCCCGGTCGGGGCACCGGATTCTGTCCCGGTTGCCCCTCTTCCAGGCCAGCTCTCTGCTGTGGCCAGGGAGTGCAGTGGAGGATGGCCCAAGTGCTTGGGCCCTGCACCCCATGGGATACCAGGAGAAGCACCTGGCTCCTGCCATCAGATCAGCGCAGTGCGCCGGCCGCAGCACGCTGGCCGCGGCGGCCATTGGAGGGTGAACCAACGGCAAAGGAAGACCTTTCTCTCTGTCTCTCTCTCACTGCCCACTCTGCCTGTCAAAAAAAAAATGTAGCTGTAAACTAGAATCATCAGGGAACTTAAAAACCAAGTGGTGCCCAGAATTCTCAAATTAGAATTCCTGGGGATAGGGCCTGGGCACCCATATGTTTTAAAAGTGCCTCTGAGAGATTGTAAAGTGTGCATACAAGTAGGTTTGCTAGATCTTACCACATATGAAGATCGTGTCTGCACTTCCATGTCCACCACAGTAGCCAAGACCTGGAGGCAACCCCTAAGTGTGCATCACCAAAAAAATGGATAAAGAAAATGTGACATATACATGGTGGAATACTATACTATTCTGTAATTGTGACAACACGGAAGAACTGCATGGCATCACCTTAAATGGGATAAGCTGGGCACTGAAAGACAAATACTGTATTATTTCACTTGTGCATGGAATCCAGGACAGTCTCATAGAAACAGAGAGTAGATAGTGTTTACCAGAGGCTTGAAGGAAGTGGAAGCTGGGGAGATGTTGATCAAAGGGTTCGAAGATTCAGTTAGCCTGGAGGAATGTGTTTTACTGATTTATGCACTGCTTGGTGATCACAGTTAATAAAAATGTATTGTCTGTTTCTTTCAAATATACTTTTAACATTTTCACCCCTTTCTGCCAAAAAATGATACACTGGTGAAGTGATAAATAGGTTAATTAGTTTGATGGAATCACTGTACAGTAAATTCATAGATCATGACATCACATTGTAACCCATAAATGTACACATACTTTGTTCATTAAAATGAATTTTAAAAATTAATAAAGGGTACTTGGGGATTGAGATCCACTGAATCAGTCTCTATTGCCTCCTGAGCGTACATTGAATAGTCATAAACATCTGTCATCCACCACCATCACACCACAATCACAGAGGGGGGAAAATCCACTAAATAGAAAAATCATTGAACAGGAAGACTTTCAATGCTTTTGTTCAGTTTCACTATTACAAAGGAAAACGGTAGCCTTCATCTTTTTTTAAGAGTGCCAGGCAACGCAGAAGAAAAATCAAAGAAAGTGTGAGTAAAAGGAAAAGGTGACAGAGTCACATCAAGAGAGGAAGGAAGAGCATAGCTGAGGTCGAGGTTGTTGGAGTAATAAGACACTCTCTCCTGATGAGCCTAGGTGATATCAAAGGCACATTTGCAGAATGTTTCCTTTTTAGTAATTGTACAAAGGCTCCCTTGCCATTACAAAGCACTTTTCTTCTTGGCAGATTGAAGAATGCTTTACCAACTAAATGCATCTCAGTAATATTCAAAGCTCAGGTCCAACATAATCATAAGTTGCCTTGTTATTACGAAGGTAGCAGCCCCATTTAATAACATATTAAATGCATTATTCATTTATGTAACTCAGACCCAGGGACAGCTGCTGCGATGAAAATAGAAGCGTTCTGTAATGCAGAAAGCAGGTGTGTGCTTTCCTGGAGTAAATGAACTCTGTATTTCTGCACAATTTTCTTCTACATTTCAGGGACAGGTCTGGTAGGGCTAATGTGATGCCATTTTCATCCAAGAAATAAAATGGTTTCAGAATGGTGTTTAATGAGCGTTTTAAAAAATTACCAACAGTCTTCTCTGTGGCAGAATCCCAGGAGGGTAGATTCGTGCTTTGGATTTAAACAGAACTCCGGTTGCTGCAGAATTCAGGAAATCCTGAGGCGATGATTGGTCAGAGCAGCGGCAAACAAACGGGATGTGCTGTAGCTGGTGATGCCAGCCCAGGTGATGGTGAGCCCAGGCTTCTCGAGCTTCTCACCAAGACAGAACCACAGGTGTGCTTGGATGCCAAGTGATTAAAAACCACAGGCTGCCTTTAGTTTGCATAGCACCTTTGAAACCTGCAGGTTGTTTCTGCTACACAGTTACACACGCTGAGATGCCATAATTATCCTGGGTGGTACTGGCTGTTCATTCCTTGCTACCATTGCTGGTACCAGGGTGCTACCATTCTCCAGCATCTGCACTTTGGTTTGTTTTTCCATCTGTCTACCACTTGCCTTTATCCTCGCCTTTTGTAAGCACATACTCGCAAGCACATAGGATTTTTTTTTTTTAATATCAGATGGGATAATTTTAAAATGCTTGGACTTGACAGTGACCAATCAGACTGAGCAGTGATCTTGGTGCTGGAGCAGGGTTTCTGAGGATCCCTGATAGGCAAACTATTAACTCTTTAGTTGCTAAATTCTGAACAGAAGCAAGGACTTCAGGGCTATAGGGATCGGCACAGTTAGTTAGCTTGGTGGATGAGGTGCATGGAGAGAGTGTGACAGTGGTTACTACCATTTGTGATGCAGGTATTTCAACATTGAACCAGTGTGGACCTTCTGATTACCAGTCTTGCATGTCTGGAGCACAAGGGGACCCTCAAGGAGGTTGAACTTCACTCAGTCGCACACAAGAAAATCACACAAGGCACAGAGCGTTCTTAACTCATCTTTTCAGAGCTTGGAGGAGGGACAGTCTTATTCTCTTTAAAGGGTCAGTGCAGTGTTGTAGTAAGCAGAGATTCACACAGGTCCTGGCTGTGTGATCAGCTGTTAACATCTATGAATCTTAACTACTTGATCTGCTTACTGGGAATAATAAGAGTACCTCCCTTGTTAGGGTTATTTGGAAAATAATTTCTGTAGAGAACTTAGCACAATGGCTAGAACATAGTATCACTCCTGAAAATTTTGTTTTTGTTTTTGTTTTTGTTTTTTTTTTTTTACTTTTTTAGTGTCATAGGGAAATTGTCCTAGAAAAGATAGGAGGTGAGCCAGTAGTTTAAAAGGTAGATATGTTTAAAGCAGCCAAAAGCACATACAGAAGAACATAAAAGTAGAATGAGGCAAAGAAATGAATTATTTTCCAGAGGATAAAAACAGATTCGGGTAGAGCAGAACCAGTGTGATAGAGAGGAGGAATCCTGAAGAATACCATAAAGTCCGCTTGCGCAGGGGCTGATGGATAGGATGGCAGGATTTCCAATTTATCCTAATGGCATTTCAAAGCCATGAAGGTTGTGAGCAGAGAAGAGATATAATAATCATATTAAATAAAAATAATTGGTGACATTTCACGAGCACTTCTAAGTGTTAGGGTGGTTTTAATGTATACTCGGTGTGCATTAATCTACTTAATTCTTACACTTACCCTATGAGGTGAGTTAATATTAGTAATTGACCTTGTGCTGATCCATAGTGCTCATAGCCTGCTCAGTGCAGGCAGTTTCTCCTTTGACTTCCTCCGCAGGCATTCAGTCCTGACAGTGAGGAGCAGAGGAGAAGGCATGGCTAGACAGAAAAGGATTAGGAATCCACAATTCGGTCTGCAGGCCAGATCTGGTCCACTGCCAGTTTTGTAAATAAAATTGTGCTGAATCTGAGCTAACTCTGTTCTTTCACGTATTGTCTCTGTGTACTTTCATGGTGCAGCATGGAGCTGAGTTGTGACAGACTGTAGAGCCTGTAAAGCTAAACATGGAGTGTCCGGCCCTTTCTATCAAAAGGTTGTAGATCTTCAGCCTAAAGGAGTGGGAAGTGGTCTTTCCTTGCCTCCTGTCCGAGCCCTACCAAGTAATTTTAGGCAGATGTCTTTGGGAACAAATATTTTATGCATAAAATGATTACTGTAGACCCCAAGTAAAAAAGCTGGCAAATAAGTAACATTGAAAATGTTACTCAAAATCTTAAAGGTTTGACATATTCTAACTTACTCACATTGTAACTTATCATAATAGTAAATTTTATAGGAAAATACATAGCATAATTTATTTTCTTCTATTATTGGTAAAACAAGAAATATACAAAAGAACAGAGACGATTTGTTCAATATGCAAAAACTGCAGCCTCCTTAATGTGAGGTTTCAGTGGTTTAACCAGTTTATCTTCTTACAAAATACTGAGTGGACTCCATCATATTTAGCCAATGTTTTCTGTACTATACCATTACTCTAGCATCTTCCCTGAGATCTAATGCTGTATATCTATCATATTCTGTTCTTACAATACATACAGCAAGACCCTCCTTATCAATAATTTTACTTTACATGATTTCAGTTAAATTGATCAGAGTCATACTAAATGCAATTTTTCGGAAGCAAACAGTTTGTAAGTTTTAAATTGTGTGTTATTCTGTGTAGCGTGATGAAACATCACACTGTCCCACTCCTCCTGTCCAGAATGTGTATCATCCCTTGGTTCAATGTATCCATGTTGTATATTCTACCCACCTATTAGTCTTTTAATGGCAGTATTGATTATCAGGTCAACCATGATAGTGTTGTTATACCTACAATAAAGTAACCCTTATGGAGCAGCCTAATGCTGTCTCTCAATACCTTGCACATAAGAGTTATGTTATCTCACCCCATCTCAAGAAGATGGGTGAGAGGCCGGCACTGTGACGCAGCAGGTTAACACCCTGGCCTGAAGTGCCGGCATCCCATATGGGCACCGGTTCAAGAACCAGCTGCTCCACTTCCGATCCAGCTCTATGCTATGGCCTGGGAAAGCAGTAGAAGATGGCCCAAGTCTTTGGGTCCCAGCACCCATGTGGGGTACCCGGAAGAATCTCCTGGCTCCTGGCTTCGGATCAGCTTGGCTCCAGCCATTGCGGCCGTTTGGAGAATGAACCATCGGATGGAAGACCTCTCTCTCTCTCTCTCTCTGCCTCTCCTCTCTCTGTGTAACTCTCTCAAGTAAATAAATAAATCTTAAAAAAAAAAAGATGAATGAGTCCAGTACAGTGTGATATTTTAAGAGAGAGTACATCCACATATCTTTTATAATGCTATATTGTTATTATGTTTTTATTTTTATCTTTGTTACTCCTTTACTGTGCTAATTTATAAATTAAACTATGATAGATATGCAAGTATAGGAAAAAAAACAAGATATATGTAAGGTTTGCTGCTATCTTCCATGTCACACATCCATAGGGATTCTTGGAACTTTTCTTCTGTGGACAAGGGGCAACTATTGGATTATCCATTCTAATCCTTAATATTTTCTTGAAGTTCATCTGGATTAATGTTTAAGATTTATTTATTTACTTACTTGAAAGGCGAAGTGACAAAAAGAGAAAGTAAGAGAGAGATAGAGAGATCTTTCAGGAGAGGGGAACTCCATCCTGGTCTCCCACAAAGTTGACAGGGGTCTTGGCACTTGGGCCATCTTTTGTTGCTTTCCCAGGCCATTAGCAGGAAGCTGGATCTGAAGTGGAGAAGCCGGGAACCCAAACTGTTGTTGCTCCAGTGTAGGATGCCAGCATTGAAGGTAGCAGATTAACCTGCTGGGCACAATGCAGGCCCTGCATTCTAGTCCTTATTGTTCATGGAACAGGTGTTGTGGCTAAGCTGCCCCCTTGCCATGCCCGTGTCCCATGTTGTAGATCCAGCTGGAATCTTGGCTACTCTGTTTCTGATACAGCTTCCTGCTAATGCATCCTTAGAGGCAACAGATAATGGCTTAAGTGCTTGGGCCCCTGCCCCACATGGGAAGCACAGGTGGAATTCCAGGCTCCTAGCTTCAGCCTGGCCCAGCTCTGCCTGTTGTGGGCATTTGGAGAGTGAACCAGTAGATGGACAATCAGTCAGTCTTTCTTCCTGTTTCCTTTCCTCCGTCCACCTTCATCCATCTTTCTCTCTCACTCTCTCTCTCTTTTCCCCACCCTGCCCCACATTTCAATTACATGTAAATAAACATTTAAAAATTATTTAATCTCTGTATTATCTCCTGAATTGTCTATGTAGGTCTCTTCAGCAGGACTATCAACTTAATGAGGGCAGGGACCAAGTCTTCTACTTTCGCACATTTTTCAAAACTCTAAAATGAAGAAATGATTCATGTGTTGATTAGATAAATAAAGGGAGTGAATGAACATGCTAATCATAGATACATAGTACAGTGTAGTACTGTGATTGTCTGTCTGCCAGGTGCTCTGTATGCATCAGTCCTTACCCTTATAGAAACAGGAAAATGATTGAGTGGTTGTTGACAGTTCCCAGGGCTGGACAATAGGTCCGGTTCAAAAACTTGGGAGTGGTTTGCTTTGAAATGATCTGGTTTATAATTTGAACTTTTCTCCATTTAGGTATAGAAAGGTGGTTTCCAATAACTGCACTGATGGGGTGAGAGAACAGTACACTGCCAAGCCACAGAAGTGCCCCGGGAAGGCCCCTCGGGGACTCCGGATCATCACAGCTGACGGAAAGCTGACGGCTGAGCAGGGACACAACGTTACTCTGATGGTGCAGCTGGAAGAGGTAGAGTCTTTCCTGTCACCCCTCCGGCCTGCTTTCCAGAGCCAGTGATTTTTCTTAGCAAACTGTAATTTGCTTTACATACTTCAACTTTCCCGATGTTATATGCTGTTTAATGCTGTTGTTTTATTCTGCTTTTAGTGTCATGCTTGTTGTTGCTATTACCATTTCACATTTCCTCAGTCCGTTGGTTTTACTGCAAGAGGTTCTTCACTCCTACATAATCTCTTCTTGGAATTCAGTTTATACTTAAGTTTGCCTCACTGTACATTTAAGAAAATGAATTCTTGGCCGGTGCCACGGCTCACTAGGCTAATCCTCTGCCTGCAGTGCCGGCACCCTGGGTTCTAGTCCTGGTTGGGGCGCCGGCTTCTATCCCGATTGCTCCTCTGAGTCCAGCTCTCTGCTATGGCCCGGGAGTGCAGTGGAGGATGGCCCAAGTCCTTGGGCCCCGCACCTGCATGGGAGACCAGGAGGAGGCACCTGGCTCCTGGCTTCGGATTGGTGCGCGCCGGCTGTAGTGGCCATTAGTGGAGTGAACCAACAGAAGGAAGACCTTTCTCTCTGTCTCTCTCTCTCTCTCACTGTCTAACTCTGCCTGTAAAAAAAAAAAAGAAAATGAATTCTCAGAAGACATTATTGGTATTCCTAGAAAAATTTAACACCTGTACATACTCAGCCCTCCTTAGAAGATGCTAATGATGGCCTGCGCTGCGGCTCACTAGGCTAATCCTCTGCCTAGCGGCGCTGGCACACCGGGTTCTAGTCCCAGTCGGGCGCCGGATTCTGTCCCAGTTGCCCCTCTTCCAGGCCAGCTCTCTGCTATGGCCAGGGAGTGCAGTGGAGGATGGCCCAAGTGCTTGGGCCCTGCACCCGCATGGGAGACCAGGAGAAGCACCTGGATCCTGCCTTCGAATCAGCGCGATGTGCCGGCTGCAGTGGCCATTGGAAGGTGAACCAACGGCAAAAAGGAAGACCTTTCTCTCTGTCTCTCTCTCACTGTCCACTCTGCCTGTCAAAAAAAAAAAAAAAAGATGCTAATGATTATTATCCTCTCAGCCTGAAGTCTTGACATTTGTTTTCCAAAGGACACGTGTTTATCATACCTGTATGTATAGCACTAAGGCCAATGTAACCATAACTGAATATAATTTCTCACTTCAACACTTGAGATTTTTTGTAACACCTCAGGGATATAATTATGAGGTGCTACAATTATTATTTGCCACGTTATGGTTGTAATTTCTCACTATTTAGATGGTAAATAAGATGAAATGCATCCTGTGTATTATAGGGTATACGGTATATGTAAACATTTTTGTCATCTTGTAAACAAGGAAGACAGAGGCCACAGGAAAAGTGCTTTCAGGACGTTATCTCAGCTGTTAAACAAAGGAGTCCCACTTTCCCCATGTTAGCTGATTTTAAATGTTTGAAATCTCCCCTTAGCTTTTACCCTCATAGGCACTTTCCATGAGTTTGCTGAGATCCCTAATATGCAGGGACTTCAAAAATTATTTTTTCATTTTATTTGAAAGGCAGAGAGACAGAAAAGAGAGCAAGTCAGAGACAGAGACAGAGGGATTGTCTATCCACTGCTTCATTCCCCAAATGTCTGCAATAGACATGGACTAGGTGAGACTGAAACAGGAACCCAGAGCTCCATCTGGGACTCCCATATGGGTGGCAGGGACACAAGTGTTTGAGCCATCATCTGGTGCTTCCCAGGATACCCATTAGCATGAAGCCAGAGTTAGAAACAGAGCTGAGACCTAAACCCAGGCTCTCCAGCATGGCTTTCAGGCATCCCAAGCAATATCTTTTTTTTTTTTTTTTAGACAGGCAGAGTTAGACAGTGAGAGAGAGAGAGAGACAGAGAGAAAGGTCTTCCTTCCATTGGTTCACCCCCCAAATGACTGCTATGGCCGGTGCTGCGCCAATCCGAAACCAGGAGCCAGGTGCCTCCTCCTGGTCTCCCATGTGGGTGTAGAGCCCAAGCACTTGGGCCATCCTCCACTGCCTTCCCTGGCCACAGCAGAGAGCTGGACTAGAAGAGGAGCAACCGGGACAGATTCAGCGCCCCAAGTGGGACTAGAACCTGGAGTGCCAAGGCTGCAGGTGGAGGATTAGCCTAGTGAGCTGCAGCGCCAGCCCCCAAGCAGCATCTTAACCACTGCACCAAACACTCGCTCCTGGACTTCAAAATTTTTTGGCCCATGATAAACTTACCTTTTATTTCCATTTTCCCAGAAGTTCCTGAAGTATCCTCCTACTGACTCAAGGATTCATAAATAACATTGACTTCCAGTTTCCTTTCCTGATAGCCCAGTAGCTCTCAGTCTTTAACATGCATCACAGTCATCTGTAGAGTATGTTGCAATTGCAAGTTTTCTTGGCCGCATCCCCAAAGGTGGGTCCCAAGAATATGCATTCTTTATTTTAATTTTTTATTTGATGATAGAGTTAGACAGTAAAAGAGAGAGACAGAGAGAAAGGTCTTCCTTCCATTGGTTCACTCCCCAGATGGCCACCACGGCCGGCACTGTGCCGATCTGAAGCCAGGAGCCAGGTGCCTCCTCCTGGTCTCCCATGCAGGTGCAGGGCCCAAGGACTTGGGCCATCCTCCACTGCCTTCCCGGGCCACAGCAGAGAGCTGGACTGGAAGAGGAGCAATGGGGACAGAATCCAGCACCCATATGGGATGCCAGCGCTGCAGGCAGAGGTTTAGCCAAGTGAGCCATGGCACCGGCCCCAGAATATGCATTCTTAACAAGTTCACAGGTTATGCAATATGCTTTAAGGAAAATAATTAAAAACACAAAAATAAGATTAAGGCTGGAGAACAGAGAATTCACAGATTCTGGAGTGTGACTTGAATGAGAGAAGATGAAGCAATTAGGATTTGTATCATGAGTATCTTAATTTTTACAAGAAAAATAACTGTGAAACGAGTTCAGTGCTGCGATGCTGTGGCCAAAGGGCCTCTTGAAGACACTGCTGTCGCTGAGTGTTCTTTCGTAACTTGTCTCCTGACTGAGATCCTTGCAGCCACACCCACATTCAAAGTACTAAGTCTCTAGAAAAGTCTTCAGTTGGAGCTAGAAAGACACAGATCGATTTAGGCCAGTTGGAGTTACTTGTATTTCACATTAAGTAAATTCTTTGGGGATTTCTGCCTGAGGCTATGATAGATTAGCTTGCAGCAAACTAAATATGAGTGTATATATTTAGAAGGAGAAACCTAGGTGCAGAGAGAGAGAGAGAAGGAGAAAGAGAGGGAAGGGAAGGGAAGAGAGGAGCAAGCAAGAACTATTAAGATGATTGGGAAGCTGAAATTCTCTTTTGGGGGATGGGGAGGTCATTGGATTAAGTTTCACATTTTATGCTGTATTTCTCCTTGATAACGTAGCTAGAAAGTGTTAGCTAAAGAGCTTTGGTGAACTTAGAAAGGTTGGGAGATAAAAATTGGACTTCAGAGTTTGAAACACACCTGAGTATGTTGAGGTCAAACTCTACAGAGCAGAGGAAGTGTGAAGAAGTGGCACAAGATCCCTGCAGTATTTGGCAGTATCTAAGCAATACAGCAAAATAGGAAGCGGTCACTAAGAGAATGAGAAGTTAAGCAGAGTTCTCAGAGGTGTTAGGTTTTGGGGAGATAGAAATGTTCAAGGCATTTCAAGGAGCAGGACCCCAGTGAACAATCGAAGACTTGCTTCTTGGGACTCCTCAGAAGCTCTATGCTAGGCATAAGGATTTAGCCAGAATTAGACCAGGCAGTCTATACCTCAAAATCCAATCTAGGGGACCAGTGCTGTGGCATAGTAGGCTAAGCTTCTCTGTACAGCACCAGCATCCCATATGGGTTCTGGTTCGAGACCCAGCTGCTGTTCTTCTGATCCATAAATTCTCTGCTTATGGCTTGGGAAGGCAGTAGAAGATCACACAAGTGTGTGGGCCCCTGCACCCATGTGGAAGACCTGGAGGAAACTCCTGGCTCCTGGCTTTAGATCAGCCCTGCTCTGGCTGTTATAGCCATTTGGGGAATGAACCAGCAGATTGAAGACCTCACTGTCTGTCTCTCCCTCACTCTCTCTCTAACTCCACCTCTCAAATAAATGAATAAATAAATAAATAAAATCTTTTTAAAAATCCAGTCTGAAAGCCCCGCAATCTCAAATGGATTAAAGTGATTTTCGCCAACACTGAGATGTCTGTTATTAACTAAAATTAATTCTCTTCCCAGAAAATTGGATAAGCCAGGGGTTATAGCTTTTTTATGTAAAATGTTAGGCATTAAAAAAAATCTAGCTATATCAAAGAATAAGATCAAAAAGGGAAAAAATTACAGAAAACATACAACTGTTGGCTGAGATGTAGTACATATTAAAAATGTCCTTTAAAATTAACAATTCATATGCTCAAGATTTGAAACAATATGGAAAATTAAGCCCTAGAGCAACAATTAATAATAAATATCAAATGGAAGTTGTAGAAATAAAGATATAAAAACTGATGTTAAAAACGTGGATGAGTTTACAGCAGATTGAATCCACATGTGAAGACCATCAGTTAAATAGAAGAAATGACAGTAAAAACAAAATACACCATCTGGAGCATAAGAAGAAGAGTAGAGAAAATAGAGACAAAATAAAAGGCAAATGGTGGAGAGAAATGTAATTTAATCTCAAAAGTGGAGGAGAGAAGAGTTGAGAATCGTTTTTGAAGAAATAATAGATAAGGATTTTTCAGAATTGATGATGATCAGCATATCAACAAATTGTTTAAGACAATCAGAAAATTCTAAGAAGGATAACAAAGAAAATGATCCCAGACAAAACCATGTGCAAATGTGTTTGCATAGCCATAGTCCTACACCCACCCATCCATATGCCACACTTAGGGACACAGTAATAGAAGGAATGAAGAGCAAGAATGAAGATATCTATGTAGACAAATTAAAGTAAATGACCACTCTGCAGACCAAAAATGATAATCAGCCATGG